ACTAGTGTAATGTTTCCACAATAAAGATACCCCAGATGTTGCACGTGTCTCTCATCCTTCAAGAGACCTCATACACAGCGGTAGACGCCAGTGTTCCTTCGGAGATTCCTCTCTAGCCATGTTTCAGATCAACGAAACAGCCTTCAGTATCGGGCTTTACGAACAAACAGAGTCTGAAGTTTCGTGTAATTTTAGAAAATTTTACCTTCACCGTAACTGTACATATCATTTGTTGATATCTACATGTACAAGGTATATAGGCCTAGTTGACATCAATGATATACTACTATATAGGAAGCAAATTAGGTCAGTTTTGTCCCAGGATGCGACCCACAACAGTCGACTAACACCCAGGTACCTGTTTTACTGATGGGTGAACAGGGACAACACGTCCTAATGATTTCCAGCCGAACCATGGAACCGATCCCCGGTCCTCAGTGTCTGAGCTAAGTGCGTTAGCGACCGAGCAAAATCTTCAGCAGGTTACAGATTTACACCAGAAGAATGTAAAGAAATATAAGCTACTTATAACAGGACAAGACGAAACTCAGTGAAAATAACCTGGTACAAAAAAGTCAGTTAATTTAGCCTAGAAATTTTAATTTTCAAAAAAAAAAAAGTTTTAATGACTATTGCATTTTAACGACTACTGTATTTTAATGACTTGTATTTTATTCAGAATATCTCAAAATGTTTAATACTGATACACCCAGTATAGGTATATTTCAACGTAATCTTCCGGAGAACCCAACACACGATGGCAGAAACTACTGCAGGACTACCTGTCTGGTGTCTGCAGGACTACCTGTCTGGTGTCTGCAGGACTTTGTCTGGTGTTTGCAGGACTTCCTGTCTGGTGTTTGCAGGACTTTGTCTGGTGTTTGCAGGACTACCTGTCTGGTGTTTGCAGGACTACCTGTCTGGTGTTTGCAGGACTACCTGTCTGGTGTTTGCAGGACTACCTGTCTGGTGTTTGCAGGACTACCTGTCTGGTGTTTGCAGGACTACCTGTCTGGTGTCTGCAGGACTACTTGTCTGGTGTCTGCAGGACTACCTGTCTAGCGTCTGCAGAACTAGTCTAGTATTTCCGTCTATAAGTGAAGTCAGGCTCCAGCACCTCGGTCTCTCACTCGGCCTACAAGACAGGAGAGACGCACTGCTGGTGCTGGCAAGAGCATATCAGGATTACTCTATGCTGGTTCACTGTCAAATCAAAAAGACAAAAAGGCACAATATGACGACGCTTCAGTCCGACTTGGACCATTTACAAGTTACTGAGAGAAGAGAGTGAGCCGGTATATATAGCCGAGGAAGACAAGGACGGGAGAGGAGGACAAGAGGTAGTGGTAGAAGTTGTAGCGGTAGTAGAAAGTAAGGAGAGCAGTTTTTACCACAAGAAAGGGGAGAGAAGGGAGGCATTAGTAGTGATAGAAAAATTAGATGATAGAAGCAGTCAAGGAGTTGAAGTAGATGTGAAGTCTGAAGACAATAAAAGGGAGCAATTGAGGTTCTGCTTCACCATCAACATTACTCTGTCAGTTTTGTGGAAAATCAGGCAATAATTAACTGATTTCCCGAAACTGTTACCCTTCATAAGTACTGATGTGAGGTGAGGGGGGGGGGTTGAGTGTAGTGGAACAGAAGCCTGTAACCCGATGTGTAGGCCTACAGGTCTGCCGAACTGACGAATCCCTACTGACCTCAATCTTATGAGTCTTTAATAGACTCGCACTCCATCTAATAATAATAATTCTTATTTCTACCAGTACAAGGTATACAGACCATAGCTGACATTAATGACATACTACTATATAGAAAGTTGTTTGTTATGCTGAGCATTTCCCGCAAATTAAGTCAATTTTGTCCCAGGATGCGACCCACACCAGTCCACTAACACCCAGGATGCGACCCACACCAGTCCACTAACACCCAGGATGCGACCCACACCAGTCCACTAACACCCAGGATGCGACCCACACCAGTCCACTAACACCCAGGATGCGACCCACACCAGTCCACTAACACCCAGGATGCGACCCACACCAGTCCACTAACCCCCAGGATGCGACCCACACCAGTCCACTAACACCCAGGATGCGACCCACACCAGTCCACTAACACCCAGGATGCGACCCACACCAGTCCACTAACACCCAGGATGCGACCCACACCAGTCCACTAACACCCAGGATGCGACCCACACCAGTCCACTAACACCCAGGATGCGACCCACACCAGTCCACTAACACCCAGGATGCGACCCACACCAGTCCACTAACACCCAGGATGCGACCCACACCAGTCCACTAACACCCAGGATGCGACCCACACCAGTCCACTAACACCCAGGATGCGACCCACACCAGTCCACTAACACCCAGGATGCGACCCACACCAGTCCACTAACACCCAGGATGCGACCCACACCAGTCCACTAACACCCAGGATGCGACCCACACCAGTCCACTAACACCCAGGATGCGACCCACACCAGTCCACTAACACCCAGGATGCGACCCACACCAGTCCACTAACACCCAGGATGCGACCCACACCAGTCCACTAACACCCAGGATGCGACCCACACCAGTCCACTAACACCCAGGATGCGACCCACACCAGTCCACTAACACCCAGGATGCGACCCACACCAGTCCACTAACACCCAGGATGCGACCCACACCAGTCCACTAACACCCAGGATGCGACCCACACCAGTCCACTAACACCCAGGATGCGACCCACACCAGTCCACTAACACCCAGGATGCGACCCACACCAGTCCACTAACACCCAGGATGCGACCCACACCAGTCCACTAACACCCAGGATGCGACCCACACCAGTCCACTAACACCCAGGATGCGACCCACACCAGTCCACTAACACCCAGGATGCGACCCACACCAGTCCACTAACACCCAGGATGCGACCCACACCAGTCCACTAACACCCAGGTACCCATTTTACTGATGGATGAACATTTTCCGTAAGGAAACCCGTCCTAATGTTCCCGGGGATCGACCCCCGGACCTCGGTGTATAAGCTGAGTGCGCTACCGATCGAGTACTTAAGTTGGTTAGATGTCGGGTAATTAGCTTAGCATATGCGATTACTTTTATCTCGGCCTGGCTGGCAAAGTGCTCTCTTCACACGCGGAGTGTCCGAGTTCGATTCCCGGACAGGTGGAAACATTTCGACGCGTTTCTTTACACCTCTTGTGTTCACCTAGGAGCAACTGGGTACCTGGGTATTAGTCGACTGGTGTGGGTCGCATCCTGGGGGAAAAGATTGAGGACCCCAATGGAAATAAGACACAGTCCTCGATGGCTCACTGCCTCTCTTGGGTTATCCTGGAAGGATAACTCTCCGGGGTTAAAAATCCGAACGAAATCTTATGTCTTATCTTACATCTGCAACAAGGAGACTTACCTTGTGCACTAAACAGGTTGGACGGTGACTCGGGCGTTATCTCGGGGTGACTCGGGCGTTATCTCGAGGTGACTCAGGCATTATCTCGGGGTGACTCAGGCATTATCTTGGGGTGACTCAGGCATTATCTCGGGGTGACTCGGGCATTATCTTGGGGTGACTCAGGCATTATCTCGCGGTGACTCGGGCATTATCTCGGGGTGACTCAGGCATTATCTCGGGGTGACTCAGGCATTATCTCGGGGTGACTCAGGCATTATCTCGGGGTGACTCGGGCATTATCTCGCGGTGACTCGGGCATTATCTCGGGGTGACTCGGGCATTATCTTGGGGTGACTCAGGCATTTATCTCGGGGTGACTCGGGCATTATCTCGGGGCGACTCGGGCATTATCTCGGGGTGACTCAGGCATTATCTCGGGGTGACTCAGGCATTTATCTCGGGGTGACTCAAGCATTATCTCGGGGTGACTCGGGCATTATCTCGCGGTGACTCGGGCATTATCTCGCGGTGACTCGGGCATTATCTCGGGGTGACTCAGGCATTATCTCGGGGTGACTCAGGCATTATCTCGGGGTGACTCAGGCATTATTTCGGGGTGACTCAGGCATTATCTCGGGGTGACTCGGGCATTATCTTGGGGTGACTCGGGCATTATCTCTGGGTGACTCGGGCATTATCTCTGGGCGACTCGGGCATTATCTCGGGGCGACTCGGGAATTATCTCGGGGTGACTCGGGCATTATCTCGGGGTGACTCAGGCATTATCTCGGGGTGACTCAGGCATTTATCTCGGGGTGACTCAGGTATTATCTCGCGGTGACTCGGGCATTATCTCGCGGTGACTCGGGCATTATCTCGGGGCGACTCGGGCATTATCTCGGGGTGACTCAGGCATTTATCTCGGGGTGACTCGGGCATTATCTCGCGGTGACTCGGGCATTATCTCGGGGTGACTCAGGCATTATCTCGGGGTGACTCAGGCATTATCTCGGGATGACTCAGGCATTTATCTCGGGGTGACTCAGGCATTATCTCGCGGTGACTCAGGCATTATCTCGCGGTGACTCGGGCATTATCTCGCGGTGACTCGGGCATTATCTCGCGGTGACTCAGGCATTATCTCACGGTGTCCTTAACTGGAGTTGTTAACTTACACCTCACACATCACAACAATAAATACTTTCGAATGCGCATTTGTGTGTGTGTTGATAAGTACTGCTCATGTGTGGAAGGTCCATCCACTATCCTTCAGGTCACCCAGAGATATGGCAACATACACACACTGCCCTGTGTATACCAGAGGTAAGTAATCCAGAATATCCAGGGCTGGGGCGGCAGGTTCTTGGACTGGATTCATCTAATGACCTGATTTGATAATTTACTGGTTACTCGTGCACACACACACCTTGATTCTATACAAGTTCACTGTCAATATTACTCTGTGCTAGTTGACTATCAGCGCTAGTTGACTATCAGGATAGACAACTAGCCTGATGACCTTGACCCAGCGTTCAGTATTGGTGTAGAGACCAACAAGTCAGTGTACAAACACACATGCTACTCACAGTGAAGAGACTCCTGGTCCGTCTGTTGAGAGTATTGAGGTCGTCCTCAGGGGAGCACTTGAGGCCCAGCAACTGATGCTTGAGGTGCTTCCAGCGTGAGACCAAACCCTCCTTTCGCGCCTCCACCACCTCTTCTGCTCCTCCTTCACCTCCTCCTCCTCCTCCTCCTCCTCCTCCTTCTCCTTCTCCTTCACCTCCTCTTAACGCATCACCGTCACCTGTAAAATTTAATTTGTAAGAGTGAAATTTCAATTCCAATTCCTTGCTTCCCTGCTGACTCTTACACCCCCTATGCTGACTGCTGACTCGTGTCCCCTTCCTGCTGACTCTTGTGCCCTTCCTGCTGACTCTTGTACCCTTCCTGCTGACTCGTGTCCCCTTCCTGCTGACTCTTGTGCCCTTCCTGCTGACTCTTGTACCCTTCCTGCTGACTCTTGTGCCCTTCCCGCTGACTCGTGTCCCCTTCCTGCTGACTCTTGTACCCTTCCTGCTGACCCTTGTACCCTTCCTGCTGACTCCTATACCCTCCCTGCTGACTACTATATCTTCCCTGCCTACCCTTCTGTCTTCTGCACCCTACCTGCCTACCCTGCTGACTCCTATACCCTCCCTGCCTACCCTGCTGACTCTTGTACCCTCCCTGCCTACCCTGCTGGCTCTTGTACCCTCCCTGCCTACCCTGCTGACTCTTATACCCCCTCTGCTGACTCCTATACCCTGCCTGCCTACCTCGCTGACTCCTGCACCCTACCTGCTGACTCTATACCCTCCCTGCTGACTACTGTACCCTCCTTGCTGACTCCTGCACCCTCCCTGCTGACTACTGTACCCTCCCTGCTGACTACTGTACCCTCCCTGCTGACTACTGTATCCTCCCAGCTGACTACCCTCCCTGCTGACTACTGTATCCTCCCTGCTGACTGGTTGCATACATAATATTCACAAATAGTTGTTATCAATCTAAGTTAATTTGTGTTTCAAAGTTAATGGTCTGATGCTGTCAACAAGTTAATTACATTCATTAAAGGAAACATTTGCAACGTGTCGCCGTCTTCAGTCCTAAAACAAAGACCAGACTAGCTAACACTCAGGTAAGTAGAGAGTGAGCAGTCAGTCGCAGAAACAGAGCAAAAACCTGACACAGCAGCAGAGCTCTTGACAGCTGGGGACAGCTGGCAGAGCAGATGATAGCTGGCAGAGCAGATGATAGCTGGCAGAGCAGTTGATAGCTGGCAGAGCAGTTGATAGCTGGCAGAGCAGTTGATAGCTGGCAGAGCAGTTGATAGCTGGCAGAGGTACATCAAGCAGAGTTTTTTTTTTTTTTTTAATTTTCTAAACACTTGTTTTGGATGGCTGGTGAGTATTACATAGTTATTGAAGTCAGAGATGAATTATTTCATAAATCCTGGACTTGTGGTAGTGTGAAGTTGTGTGAGACAACACAGGTGTATTTAGAAGTTCCATTGCAGAGTCGAAGGTGAAGTTCTTTGGCAAACCTTATGTTCATGTTCGCAGGTATAGGTTGGACTTGGCCTGTGGCTGTTGGCTTTAGTTTCTTCGTCAGAGCTGAGGAGTCTTGATCTTATGTCAAGGTGTAGCGGGTATGGAGGTGGTGGCAGGCTGGGCAGGAGTAATTCGGGAAGGTGGTGGGGTCAGGAGTGGATTGGGCAGCTGTGATTGGATAATTTGATGGAATGGTGAAGCCTGCTACGCTAGAGAAAATTTTGAAAGTTCCGGGTGAGGCGGCGGCGTTCACGTGAACATACATGATGCAGTACATGATCTATGTTGCAGCGCAGTCGGGAAGTGTTGTCACAAAGTTGTTTATAGAAGCAAACTGTTGTCACATTGAGAGTTGTCAGAGTCAGCTTAAAGTGTAGTAACTGACTGCAGTTTTAGCCGAGGTGTCACTGCAGTTTTTTTACTTTGGTCCTCGAGTTTATTGTTTCTGGTGATTTCCTTCCTGCAAGGACTTTTGACTGTGTGATCATTTTTCTTGCAGCTGAGAAAATTTGGTTGAGAGGTGGAGATGCAGTCGTTATGAATGTGACAGTGCCCAAACTGGAGAGTATTTCTTTTCCTTCAAATGGCAGTTCTTGGTGAGGTGGGTATGTGCATAGCAGTTCCAACATGGGTGATGTGGTATTCCTGGAATTAATGTAACATGAGATGGGTAAATCTTGACTGAGTGTCTGAGATGCCATGGAGATTTCAGCGAAGGTGGCCTTGAATCACAGAGCTGACAGTTGGAATTTTTGCGATAGTCGACGGTGGTCCAGTCATTTTGGTTTTCAATGAATCGTTTCAAGTCGCCTTTTCATTGGCTGATGACGCCGCAATAAAGTTTCTTCACAAACGCCGATTTCTTTGCCCTCAGCGCAGTGGAAGGAGCCACGTCAAAGGCACTGTCCTAGAGAACGTTCGTACCAGAGGCGGTGGTGATTTTCAGCTTCGTCATCTGTAAAGCAGACGGTGATAAGAGTCCTTAGTATTGACGAGGTTTTACGGTCTCATCTGCAGGGTGGTCGTCAGGGGTGTTGCTAGAGTCTGCGTCGTGTTCTAGATGGTCCCACTAAGTGGGCAAACACACACTGTACCAGCTTCCTCAAGTGGTTACTGCTCAGTGGCATGGTTAGTACCTGTGGAAGTCCACTTATGTGTACATCTCTGGAGTAATGTAATGAATGAATTAACTGTGAAATGTGTGTGAATGACTTAATACACAGTTAAGACCGTAGACGAGTATGTAGGGTGGTAGTAGTAGTAAAGGTATTAGTACAGTAGTGGTGAGACGGGTAGGATTTAAGAAGGACCTGGTAACATTGGTCAGAAGACCTGCTGCAGTGATCATCTCTACAAAATTCTCACGTTGACATATTTCAACGTCTCCAAATTTGGCAATATCCTGCTGATCAACAATCTGGATATAGTGTAACTTCTGGACTTATGATTGATCGTAGTAATGACAACAATTAGGGCGGCTTCTACACACTTTCGTATTCGTAAATCATCTTCCTGAACGACTAACCTGGCCTCCTTGAACTTCACAAGGTGTCCAACATCGTATCTTGCATGCGCTCTTGTGCTCACGGATCCCACATAGATCTTGTCACACCTCACATGGTGTTATATATACTCCTGCGTTGGTGGTAGAGTCGTTTTTATGTTTTTGTACCAAGTTTTCAAAGGTAGTGAAAGAGTAAGTGCCTATTTTAAGAAGGCTTTTGTCGAATATGTTGGATACGTTATGTGCCACGTCTCAGGCCGTCAAAACGATGCAGCTGGGAGGGTCTCCTTCAACTACATGCAACACATTTCCTGCAATCTCATGTAAAGTACTGGAGAAAATGTAGCGAGCTGGATGAATATGTGTATGTGCACTCTTCCTCGAGGAACTGCAGAATGGAAATCCTGTAAGCCCTTAAGCCTATAACTGCTACTCGTTCAGTTTTAGTGTCACAGTGGGAAAAAGAAATGCAGCATCGCTCTTGTAGGTTGTCTTGCTGTCAGTCTTCAATGAGAAGGAGGGAGTTATCACTTGTAAGTAGAATTATGTCAAGAAACGGCAGTTGGTTGACCTTCTCTAGACTAAATCTAATTGTTGGTTCCAGAGGTGTTGACGGTGTTGTGGATGTTACGCACTTCAAGACTTACGTGTACTATGACTAAAATGGCAGCGAGATATCGCATCCAAGTGATCAAGTACTGGCACTGAGGCTCCGTCTTGATTCCAGGTCTTCCGTTTATTAAATGTCCAGGACTGCACTAAGTGAACCCCTGGCCAACACGAGAACCTGCTTAAATTTAACACCTTCAGAATTATATATGCTCAGAAGAGGCATACAAAATCCATGCTTTTTCGTGGAAATTTGCAGGATTTCCAGTCTGCAGGTCTTTGAGGAAGAGTGCACATACGTCGTACATTCATTCAGCTCGCTACGTTTCCCCCATATTTAATACGTCGTTGCAAGAAACGTGCAACACTGATCCTTAGCAAAACTAACACTAATCAGGTTAAAGGAGAGTTTCCCAGTTACACCCAGCTGAAGGAGAGTTTCCCAGTTACACCCAGCTGAAGGAGAGTTTCCCAGTTACATCCAGATGAAGGAGAGTTTCCCAGTTATATCTTTCTACTGGTCAGGTATATAGAAACAAACGTGTCTACCATACTTAACAAATCTTGCAACTACCGTTGAAACACGAGTGTGTACGGCACAGAGACGATGTTGGACACGTTAATGAGGCCAGGGTAGTCGTCCAGGAAGATGAGTTACGAAAAAAGTGTACAGAGGCTGTACACTGCCGTCACTAAGATAATCCATCGTAAGTCCAGAAGTTACACCATATCCAAATTGTTGATCAACAGGATATTGCCCATTTTGGAGGCTGCTGTACATAGGTGAGTACTTGGTATAGTGAAGCACTGTTGCAGGCCTACTGGCCCATGCTGACACATCTTTCACAATTCCTACCCATCTAAACACAGCTGTAATACTATTCTCTCTACTACTACTGCTACTATTATTACTACTACTACTATTACTACTATTATTTCTATTATTATTTCTATTATTATTTCTATTATTACTATTACTACTACTGTTACCATTAGTATTACTACTACTGTTGCCACTACTATTACTACTACTATTACCACTATTACTACTACTATTACTACGACTATTACTGCTATTACTACTACCACTACTACTACTGCTACTATACTACTATCTGTATTATCACTCAAGACAATACTGGCCTAACGTTCCCTTGAATAAATTTCCTGAAATTCTCACTTAAGTCATTTTCACATACATGTTTTTTCTTTACCGGAATAAAAGAAAAACATAGAACACATCGTCAGAATTGAGAGAGAGAGAGTCAAGAGTGAAAAAACTTGTTGAATAAACATTTGTCTGCGGCTCCGTGACAAACAGTGTTTATACTGACTTAGTGTATTACAATAAACAAACGTTGTATCTGAGTGGCACTCATCTCAGTGTTGAGTGTTGGGTATATATTTGTAACGTGATTCTCACAACTCACTCAGGTTCTGTTACAGTCCACTCACAACCTGTTATGCCTCACTCACAACCTGTTACACCTCATTCAGATCCCGTCACAACCCACGCACAACCTGTTACATCCCACTCACCTGTTACAACCCACTCATAACCTGTTACAACCCACTCACAACCTGTTACATCCCACCCACAACCTGTTACAACCCACTCACAACTTGTAACAACCCACTCACCTGTTACAACCCACTCACAACCTGTTACATCCCACTCACAACCTGTTACAACCCACTCACAACCTGTTACAACCCACTCACAACCTGTTACAACCCACTCACAACCTGTTACAACCCACTCACAACTTGTAACAACCCACTCACCTGTTACAACCCACGCACAACCTGTTACAACCCACTCACAACCTGTTACAACCCACTCACAACCTGTTACATCCCACTCACAACCTGTTACAACCCACTCACAACCTGTTACAACCCACTCACAACCTGTTACAACCCACTACAACCTGTTACAACCCACTCACAACCTGTTACAACCCACTCACAACCTGTTACATCCCACTCACAACCTGTTACAACCCACTCACAACCTGTTACAACCCACTCACAACCTGTTACAACCCACTCACAACCTGTTACAACCCACTCACAACCTGTTACAACCCACTCACAACCTGTTACAACCCACTCACCTGTTACAACCCACTCACAACCTGTTACAACCCACTCACAACCTGTTACAACCCACTCACAACCTGTTACACCTCACTCAGATCCCGTCACAACCCACTCACAACCTGTTACCACCCTGCGTACGTGGGTGAGGCGTGGGTGAGTGTTGTAACTCACCTGGGTACGTGGGTGAGACGTAGGTGAGCGCTGCAACTCACCTTGGTACGTGGGTGAGGCATGGGTGAGTGTTGCAACTCACCTGAGTACGTAGGTGAGTGTTGCAACTCACCTTGGTACGTGGGTGAGGCGTGGGTGAGTGTTACAACTCTCCTTGGTACGTGGGTGAGTGTTGCAACTCACCTGGGTACGTGGGTGAGTGTTGCAACTCACCTTGTTACGTGGGTGTTGCAACTCACCTGGGTACGTGGGTGAGTGTTGCAACTCACCTAGGTACGTGTGTGAAGCGTGGGTGAGTGTTGCAACTCACCTGGGTACATAGGTGAGTGTTGCAACTCACCTTGGTGCGTAGGTGAGGCGTGGGAGAGTGTTGCAACTCACCTGAGTACGTAGGTGTGTTGCAACTCACCTGGGTACGTGGTTGAGGCGTGGGTGAGTGTTGCAACTCACCTGGGTACGTGGTCGAGGCGTGGGTGATTGTTGCAACCCACCTGGGTACGTGGGCGAGTGTTGCAACTCACCTGGGTGCGTGGGTGAGTGTTGCAACTCATCTGGGTACGTGGTTGAGGCGTGGGTGAGTGTTGCAACCCACCTGGGTACGTGGGTGAGGCGTGGGTGAGTGTTGCAACCCACCTGAGTACGTGGGTGAGTGTTGCAACCCACCTGGGTACGTGGGTGAGTGTTGCAACTCACCTGGGTACGTGGGTGAGTGTTGCAACTCACCTTGTTACGTGGGTGTTTGTTGCAACTCACCTGGGTACGTGGGTGAGTGTTGCAACTCACCTAGGTACGTGTGTGAAGCGTGGGTGAGTGTTGCAACTCACCTGGGTACGTAGGTGAGTGTTGCAACTCACCTTGGTGCGTAGGTGAGGCGTGGGAGAGTGTTGCAACTCACCTGAGTACGTAGGTGTGTTGCAACTCACCTAGGTACGTGGTTGAGGCGTGGGTGAGTGTTGCAACCCACCTGGGTACGTGGGTGAGTGTTGCAACCCACCTGGGTACGTGGGTGAGGCGTGGGTGAGTGTTGCAACTCACCTGGGTGCGTGGGTGAGTGTTGCAACTCTCCTGGGTACGTGGGCGAGTGTTGCAACCCACCTGGGTACGTGGGTGAGTGTTGCAACTCACCTGGGTACGTGGGTGAGTGTTGCAACTCACCTGGGTACGTGGGTGAGGCGTGGGTGAGTGTTGCAACTCACCTGGGTACGTGGGTGAGGCGTGGGTGAGTGTTGCAACTCACCTGGGTATGTGGGTGAGGCGTGGGTGAGTGTTGCAACTCACCTGGGTACGTGGGTGAGGCGTGGGTGAGTGTTGCAACTCACCTGGGTACGTGGGTGAGGCGTGGGTGAGTGTTGCAACTCACCTGGGTACGTGGGTGAGGCGTGGGTGAGTGTTGCAACTCCACACACTGCTAACAGAAGGGCCCATGACACCATATCTCCTGGAAATTAAAATCAGAATTAATATATCAAGCGAATCATTGCACAGGAAAAACAATGATCAGTCAGGCTGATCACCAGTGTTTCATTGTAGCTTAAGTGTTGCTGAGGAACTCAGACATCTAATGCGGAGATATTGATTTTTTTTTACTAATAAACCGGTATACCAGAGTAGATACTGTGGCAGTTGGAGCTCAGGACGTTTGGGTGTTGATGAGCACTTAAGTGGTCACAGTACTGTAACTGGAACAGTATGTTGATGATGACACTGTACATAGATGATGACTTGTGATGCTACTACTGGTTCACTCTACCTGCTGATGCTGATGCTGCTGCTGATGATGCTGATGATGCTACTGCTGCTGATGATGCTGATGACGCTGATGCTGATGCTGCTACTGCTGCTGCTGCTGATGCTACTGCTGCTGATGATGCTGCTGATGCTCATGCTGCTGCTGATGCTGCTGATGCTGATGACGCTGATGCTGATGCTGCTGCTGCTGATGCTACTGCTGCTGCTGATGCTCCTGATGCTGATGCTCCTGCTGATGGTGCTGATGCTGCTAGTGCTGCTGCTGCTACTGCTGATGCTGCTGCTACTGCTGATGCTGCTGCTACTACTGCTGATGCTGCTACTGCTGCTGCTGCTGCTGATGTTGCTACTGCTGCTGCTGCTGCTACTGCTGATGCTGCTACTGCTGATGCTGCTGCTACTACTGCTGATGCTGCTACTGCTGCTGCTGCTACTGCTGCTACTGATGCTGCTGATGCTGCTACTGCTGCTGCTGATGCTACTGCTGCTGCTGATGCTGCTACTGATGCTGATGCTGCTGATGCTGCTGCTGATGCTGATGCTGATGCTGCTGCTGCTGCTGCTGATGCTACTGCTGCTGATGCTGCTGCTGCTGCTACTGCTGATGCTGCTGCTACTACTGCTGATGCTGCTACTGCTGCTGCTGCTACTGCTGCTACTGATGCTGCTGATGCTACTGCTACTGCTGATGCTGCTACTGCTGATGCTGCTGCTACTACTGCTGATGCTGCTACTGCTGCTGCTGCTACTGCTGCTACTGATGCTGCTGATGCTACTGCTGATGCTGTTGCTACTGATGCTGATGTTGATGCTACTGCTGATGCTGATGCTGCTACTGATGCTGATGCTACTGATGCTGCTACTGCTGCTACTGATGCTGCTGATGCTGCTACTGCTGCTGCTGATGCTGCTACTGCTGCTGCTGATGCTGCTGCTGATGCTGATGCTGATGCTGCTGCTGATGCTGCTACTGCTGCTGATACTGCTGCTGCTGATACTGCTGCTGCTGCTGCTGATACTGCTGCTGATACTGCTGCTGCTGCTGCTACTACTGATGCTGCTACTGCGGATGCTGCTGCTATTGCTGATGCTGCTACTGCTGATGCTGCTACTGCTGATGCTGCTGCTGATGCTGCTGCTGCTGCTGCTACTGCTGCTGCTACTGCTACTACTGCTGCTGCTGCTGCTACTGCTACTGCTGCTGCTACTGCTGCTGCTACTGCTGATACTGATGCTGATGCTGGTACTGCTGATGCTGCTGCTGCTGCTACTGCTGCTGATGATGCTGCTGCTGCTACTGCTGATACTGCTGATGCTGCTACTGCTGCTGCTACTGCTGATACTGCTGATGCTGATGCTGCTGCTGCTGCTACTGCTGATACTGCTGATGCTGCAGCTGCTACTACTGCTGATGCTGCTGCTGCTGCTACTGCTGATACTGCTGATGCTGCTGCTGCTGCTACTGCTGATGCTGCTACTGATGCTGCTACTGCTGATACTGCTGATGCTGCTACTGCTGCTGCTACTGCTGCTACTGCTGCTGCTGCTGCTACTGCTGCTGCTGCTACTGCTGCTGCTGCTGCTGCTACTGCTGATACTGCTGATGCTGCTACTGATGCTGCTACTGCTGATACTGCTGATGCTGCTACTGCTACTGCTGCTGCTGCTACTGCTGCTGCTACTGCTGCTGCTACTGCTGCTGCTACTGCTGATGCTGATGCTGCTACTGCTGCTGCTACTGCTGATACTGCTGATGCTGATGCTGCTACTGATGCTACTGCTGATACTGCTGATACTGATGCTGCTACTGCTGCTGCTACTGCTGCTGCTACTGCTGCTGCTACTGCTGATACTGCTGATGCTGATGCTGCTACTGATGCTGCTACTGCTGCTGCTACTGCTGATACTGCTGATACTGATGCTGCTACTGCTGCTGCTACTGCTGATACTGCTGATACTGCTGATACTGATGCTGCTACTGCTGCTGCTACTGCTGATACTGCTGATGCTGATGCTGCTACTGATGCTGCTACTGCTGCTGCTACTGCTGATACTGCTGATACTGATGCTGCTACTGCTGCTGCTACTGCTGCTGCTACTGCTGATACTGATGCTGCTACTGCTGCTGCTACTGGTGCTGCTGCTGCTGCTACTGCTGCTGCTACTGCTACTGCTGCTGCTACTGCTACTGCTACTGCTGCTGCTACTGCTGCTGCTGCTGCTACTGCTGATACTGCTGATGCTGATGCTGCTGCTGCTACTGCTGATGCTGCTGCTACTGCTGCTGCTACTGCTGATGCTGATGCTGCTACTGATGCTGATGCTGCTACTGCTGCTGCTACTGCTGATGCTGCTACTGCTACTGCTGCTGCTACTGCTACTGCTGCTGCTACTGCTGCTGCTACTGCTACTGCTACTGCTGCTGCTGCTACTGCTACTGCTGCTGCTACTGCTGCTGCTACTGCTGATACTGCTGATGCTGATGCTGCTACTGCTGATGCTGCTGCTGCTACTGCTGCTGATGATGCCGCTACTGCTGCTGATACTGCTGCTGATGCTGCTACTGCTGCTGATGCTGCTGCTGATGCTGCTGCTGCTGATGCTGCTACTGCTGCTGCTGATGCTGCTGATGCTGATGCTGATGCTGCTACTGCTGCTGATGCTACTGCTGCTGATGCTGCTACTGCTGATGCTGCTACTGCTGATGCTGCTGATGCTGATGTTGCTACTACTGCTGATGCTACTGCTGATGCTACTGCTGCTGATGCTGCTACTGCTGATGCTGCTGATGCTGATGCTGCTGATGCTGATGCTACTGCTGCTGATGCTGCTACTGCTGATGCTGCTGCTACTGCTGATGCTGCTACTGCTGCTGATGCTACTGCTGCTGATGCTGCTACTGCTGATGCTGATGCTGCTGATGCTGCTACTGCTGCTGATGCTGCTACTGCTGCTGATGCTGATGCTGCTACTGCTGATGCTGATGCTGCTACTGCTGATGCTGCTACTGCTGCTGCTGCTGATGCTGCTGATGCTGATGCTGCTACTGCTGATGCTGCTGCTGCTGATGCTGCTGCTGATGCTGATGCTGCTGATGCTGCTGCTGCTGATACTGCTGCTGATGATGCTGCTGATGTTGCTGCTGATGCTGATGCTGCTACTGCTGCTGATGCTGCTTCTGATGCTACTACTGCTGATGCTGCTGATGCTGATGCTGCTACTGCTGCTGATGCTGCTACTGCTGATGCTGCTACTGCTGATGCTGATGCTGCTACTGCTGCTTATGCTGCTACTGCTGCTGATGCTGATGCTGCTGATGCTGATGCTGCTACTGCTGCTGATGCTGATGCTGCTGATGCTGATGCTGCTGCTGCTGCTGATGCTGCTACTGCTGCTGATGCTGCTACTGCTGCTGATGCTGATGCTGATGCTGCTGATGCTGATGCTGCTACTGCTGATGCTGATGCTGCTGCTGCTGATGCTGCTACTGCTGATGCTGCTGATGCTGATGCTGCTACTGCTGCTGATGCTGCTGATGCTGCTGATGCTGCTACTGCTGATGCTGATGCTGATGCTGCTGCTGATGCTGCTACTGCTGCTGCTGCTGCTGATGCTGATGCTGATGCTGCTGATGCTGATGCTGCTACTGCTGATGCTGATGCTGCTACTGCTGATGCTGCTGATGCTGCTGCTGCTGATGCTGCTACTGCTGATGCTGCTGATGCTGATGCTGATGCTGCTACTGCTGCTGATGCTGCTACTGCTGCTGATGCTGCTGATGTTGATGCTGCTGATGCTGATGCTGCTACTGCTGCTGATGCTGCTACTGCTGCTGATGCTGATGATGCTGCTGATGCTGATGATGCTGCTGATGCTGATGCTGCTACTGCTGCTGATGCTGCTGCTGCTTATGCTGATGCTGCTGATGCTGATGCTGCTACTGCTGCTGATGGTGCTACTGCTGCTGCTGCTGCTACTGCTGATGCTGATGCTGCTGATGCTGATGCTGCTGATGCTGCTACTGCTGCTGATGCTGCTACTGCTGCTGATGCTGCTGCTGCTGATGCTGATGCTGCTGATGCTGCTACTGCTGCTGATGCTGCTACTGCTGATGCTGATGCTGCTACTGCTGATGCTGATGCTGCTACTGCTGATGCTGATGCTGCTGATGCTGATGCTGCTGATGCTGATGCTGCTGATGCTACTGCTGCTACTGCTGATGCTGCTACTGCTGATGATGCTGATGCTGCTACAGCTGATGCTGTTACTGCTGATGCTGCTACTGCTGATGCTGCTACGGCTGATGCTGCTACTGCTGATGCTGCTGATGCTGCTACTGCTGATGCTGCTACTGCTGATGCTGCTGATGATGCTACTGCTGATGCTGTTACTGCTGATGCTGCTACTGCTGATGCTGCTGATGCTGCTACTGCTGATGCTGCTGATGCTGATGCTACTGTTGATGCTGCTACTGCTGATGCTGCTACTGATGCTGCTGCTACTGCTACTACTGATGCTGCTGCTACTACTGATGCTGCTGCTACTGCTACTATTGATGCTGCTACTGCTGATACTGCTGCTGCTGCTATTACTACCACTTACTACCTACTACTACTACCTACTACTACTAATAATAATACTACTACCTACTACTACTAATACACTACTACTACTACTACTAATAC